GGGGGATGATAAGAGAGAAGGGCAGACTGGGAAAGGAGGTAATCAGAAGCAAATACTTCTGAGGAGGGACAGGGTCAAAAGAAAGAATAAATGGGGGGGCAGGATAGAATTAAGGGAAATAGAGTTAGTTTTTCACAGTATGTCTACTATGGAAGTGTTCTGCATAACTGCATATGTATAACCTATATTGAGTTGCTTGCCTTTTCAATGAGGGTTAGTGGGGAGGGAGGAAGGGAGAAAATTTGGAACCCAAAGTTTTAAAAACACATGTTTAACAAAAATGTTTTCACATGCAACTGGGAAATAAGAAATACAGGAAATGGGGTACAGAAATCTATCCTGCCCTACAGGAAAACAGAAGGGGAAGAGGATAAGAGAATGGGGGGAGAGACAGAAGGGAGGGCAGTCTAGGGAAAGGGTATACAGAATGCATGCCATCTTGGGGTGGGGGGAGGGGTGAGATGGGGTGAAAATTTGGAACTCAAAATCTTGTGGAAGTAAATGTTGAAAACTAAAAATAAATAAATTTATTAATTTAAAAAAAAAAGAAAATAGGGCTTCAAAGACACAGAGGGGTGAGAATGCAGTGCATTCTAGATATGCCAAGAGTGTTATAATCTATTTCATGCATGCTGGGTTGGCTTCTCTTTAAAGGGGTAAGGAAACTTATCTTCAAGATTTGATTGGTCCAGGACAACCTGGCTTTCTGGTTACCTCAAGTGTCAAAAGATCAGCTAACAAGGAGTCAGCATTCCTCAGGCTTAACAGAATCCTCCACTGCTGTGGGAATCAATGCATAAAGGTCTGACCGGGTGTTGCCACTGTGCCAGATGTAGAAGCAGAGGGAAGCTGCATCCCCCTGTATTATAAGATCATAGATTGAAGGTTGGAAGGGATCTTAAGGGTCCTCATTTTACAGATGAGGAAATGAAACATAGAGAAAGGAAGTCATTCACCAGAGGTCATCTAATTATGAAGTATCAGGATTCAAAACTCAGATTTTCCAGAGCCCAGTATTATCCACTATGCTACCTGGCTGCCCAAAGCAGTAGCATATCCTTATTCAATCTTTTATTGTTGAGTAAACTTCTTTTTATTGGGGGGAAAAAAAAAAAAAAGAAAGTCTGGCAGGTACTACATAAGTGATGATTGAAACACAAAAAATTTTAAAGGCAGATCCTCAGTACTCAGGTAGTATCTAAACTAAAAGAATACTTTTCTAAGAGGTATCTTACCTGCCTCAAAGATTGAATGATTACAAAATTAAACATCATTCTCCTGGGCTGTGGGGAACCTTGATCTCAATATGTGCAATTATACTAGAGATACAGGCTGTTTAGAACAGGTCCCTTCCTAGTGGAGTAGTATGTAGAGAAATAGCTAGAGCGCTGATGAGTATCCATCTGTGTAGCAAGTAAATTTTAGTAATTCCTATGTTTTACTTTATTTTACTTACTCATCATTTAAAAATAAAATTATTGTAAAAATCTCTAGCTTAAGTTTACCTCAGTATAGAGACAAATAATCTACTAAAATCTATCAGGAATCCAATGTTTCAACTATATCTTGGAACAGTAAACTTCCAGGATACTACTGTAATGCATAGTTTCATTTCTCTAAGCCAAAGCCTGATTTGCGTAAGGAAGAGGGGCATATATGTTTTATTGTACTTTTTTTGTATGAGTGAATATATATATTAAATTAGTTTGTAGTATTATGAAAAAAAATTAAAATTAAAATTAAAAAAAAAAAGAGTCAGAAAATCTGGATTCCAATCCCAGCTCTAACTTTTGCCCATGGTCATAAAGCTGGTAAGCCCTCTAACTTCTCTGGGTCTTTAGTTTTATCATCTATAAAATAAGATGACATCTCAGGTCTCTTCCAAGCTCTTTACTCCACGATCTAAACTATTAAAAAAAACAAGCATATTCTACTTCAACAACAATATGAATTAAAGTCTTTCTAACTAAATCAGCATTTTTAAAATGAGGATTAAAATTTTTACCGTAAGCATTTTAAAGGAAGATGTATTCAGATCCAATATTTTAAAAAAAAAATTTAAGAGAAACAAATACACAGAAACTGAAAGGTCTTTGTTTTGAGCTTAAAATAACTCTAGTTTCCAACCAGTAAAAATAATTCATCTGCAACAACATTATTTTAGAACACAATAGTCCTAAATCTATTACTCTTCCAAAGACAACTTCTATAGTAGGGACAAGATCCAGGATTAATAATTACATTAGATCTTCATCTGATACTAATTGTGGTCTCATGAAATTGGAAAATTTATCTTCAAGTGTGTCACTGAAGTGAACAAGTTTCAAAAACAGTGCTGATATCAGAAAAATCTATGGGGATTTCAAATGATGTGTTAAATAAATAAATAATATCCCTTCCCTCTGAATGTATTTATATCTGGTATTATACTATTCAGTCTGAAAAGACTATATGGAAGTTTTTAATGAACAAGTGAATAAAAAGGACAGTAATAGAAAATGGCCAATAAAATTTCAAACTCATTTTTTCTTCTCTAAGTAGGTCAATGTAGTAACTACTCAAACGTATATCCATCTTGCTAGTTTATAGAAACTAACTATGCAAAGTTCAAGTATACAAAGGGTATTGAGGAACTGTCAAGTTACAAGAATTTTTAGGCCTTATGTTGGGTATCAGAATTCTTACATTTTACAAAGACTGCCACAACAAACAATTCCAACAGTTTGAAAATGGGAAACACTTTAAGAATGGTCAGATATTGGGGCCAGCTAGGTGGTGCAGTGGATAGAGCACTGGCCCTGGAGTCAGGAGGACCTGAGTTAAACTCCAGTCTCAAACCTTGACGCTTGCTATCTGTGTGACCTGGGCAAGTCACTTAACCCAAATTGCCTCACAGCCAAAAAAAAAAAATGGCCATATATCTATATATGTATCTATCTATATATCCTATTAATTCTATAAATACGTTAGGACCAAGGTATTACACTTGGCAGGACCACTTTTGGAACCCTACGTTTTACTCAAATTACTGGAATTTATCAGTGCAGACTCCTATAAGGCAAGAGGAACAAATAAACAATATTTTTCCATTTAGAGATACTCAAAATATGAAATATCTTTTACCATATTCTCTAACATAGATTCTATTTTTTTAAATAGTCAAACAACAGTTTAACAAAGGATTACAAGGAAACTGAAGTTTTTATTTAAAAAAAAACTAGACCTTCAACACAAAATATATTTAAATGATTTCTAGATATGGTCTTAGTTGCATTAAATAATTGACATGTCTTCTATCACACTAAAGAACTGAGGCAGTTAACTAAGTGAAGCTTAATAATGCTGTCACTAACTGTAATGAGAGGTATTACTGAATTCACAATTCCAAAACCATACACACTTGTTTGGTTCATCGTGCTCCTAGTAAGTACCAATCTCCTAAGTTACCAATGTATGATATAAATTTCTTCTTATATTTAACCATTTATTTTGCTCTCTACCACATCACTCAAATCTTTCCTCCAAAATATTCATTCATAGGCAAAAAAACAAGATACTTCTATATGAAAGGAAACAGATTCAGTCTGAACTGAATTTGTTTTATTAAAAATAATAGCTTTCATAATAAACACTGACACTTAGAATGAACTTTAAGGTTTGAAGAATATTACATTCATTGTTTCATTTGATCTTCCCAAAATCTTGATCCTAGTTTACAAATAAAGAAACTGACGCTAAGACAGCAATTAAACCATTTCCCCAATACCATACAGCTAAATAGTATCAGAGCAAGATTTGAACATAGGTCTTGACAAAAAGTCTGGTGCTCGAGACACTATTACCACACCGCCTTCCCTCCACACATCTATATATACAGCTTTAACATTAATAAAGTGTTTTACGTCTCATTTACATTTCCATTCTGAAAACTTTTTAGAATTCAGATCTTAAGTACAAGTTATCACCTATCTCTGCAAAAATTGCTTATTCAATTATTAATTGGCCACTAAATTTCTCACTTATTTCATACCTCACTGTAATAACGAAGGACAAAACTGCTACCTCTAATATGGGGTTTAATTCTACATTAGCAGTAAGTAATGCATTGTTCACATTGTACTAGTAAATCTCATTTTCAAAAACTGGGTCAAATACCGTCCGGCCAAATTTAGAAGTCTTGATTTAACCCTGTACACAAAACACAAGGTGATGTCTCCGTTTATTGCTCCAGCATTAACAAAGGTAATGTAGGAGGACAAATGAACCACCTAATTTAAAATAAACAAAAACCTGACACAAAAATTCCTAAAACATCTCAATAACGCGAAGAAGCAAACTTCTTTCGGATTGCAGGTATCGTTTCCCGAAAGGAATGGCAGTTTTCTTTCTAAATGCAAAGGGTGATGTGAAACAAAGTGCCCCAGAATTAACAGCTGGAAGGAGCCCCTTCACAAGAAAACTATGGGCATCACCCACTTATCAGAGAGGTATATGCAGCTGACCTCCTCTGCGATCCTCCTCAGTCAAGAAGCTAAAAATGGAAGATAAAAGGATGATTATTATCTTAGAGGAGTAAAAGGATATTTTAGTATTTCGTTTCCCTTGTATGGAGATGACAGTAGTTAGAACATCTGGTAAACATTTGGTAAACATCCAAATCCCCTAAAGTAGTCCAGACGTCTAGTCTCCAAGATGATGTATTACTTTACAAAACTAATTAACATAGTCAACCCCAAAAATGCGTTAGGCCCTGCGAGGAACTCCACATACCACCTGATATTAATGCTCCACTTAACTTCAGTCTTTGCCAAGTCTTCCCTCCTCAAAATGAACAATACCCCCTCCTTCGTATTTCCCAGGAGAAATGACCCGCCCCACCCCCACCTCTCCAGGGGCGCCAGGACCAGGTTAACACCGAAGAGATTCCACGGGGAGGGGAGGGGCGGGAAACGGCGAGCCCGGGTCCGGCCCTGGGGCCGCGGCGCCCCGCGCTCCCTCACCTATCACGATGCGCAGGTGCTTTAGCCGGGTCAGTGCGTCCTTCTTGGTGTCCAGCACCTTCTGAGTGGACTTCTTGACGTCCCCGTGCGGCTTCTTGGAGAACATCCCGCCGCCACCGCTGGCCCCCGCCCGGCCCTGTCCTGGCAGCGGAAAGTGGAGGGAGTGGGGCGGGAGGAGACGAGGCGTCAGTGGCTCATTCACGGCGGTGGGTTCGGGGGCCCCTGAAAAGTCAAACTCTCCGGGTTGAGGCCAGGTCCGCGGCCTCCGCCTCCTCCGGCCTCCCGCCGCAGGCCCGAGACACCGCCGACACCGGCTCCAATATGGCGGATCCTCCCTCCAGGCCCTGAACGAATCTAGGGAGCCGCGCCTGAGCCGCCGCCGCCGCCGCTCCCGCTCCTGCTCCGAGTCCCGGTCTTCCTCAGCTACCGCAGTTCCCCGCCTCAGGCTGGGGGCGGGGAGGGCTTGGGGTGGAGAGAAAGCCTAGACCTAGAGGGCGGAGGCGGAGGTCCGCAGCCACAGCAGCTCTCCCTAGGGCCCCCTAAAGGTTAAAGGCTTCTTCGGCACCGCCCACCAGGCAGCGCCAAAACTGGAAACTAAGCTGCGGAAGAGTTTCACGACTCTGCCGTCAGTGGCGAATGGTGCCCATGGCAACAGCCTTCTGTTGTCACCGATCTCTTACGTCATGCCTGCGTGAAGTCATATCGGCCTTTTCCCCATATGTGGTTTTATGTGGTGTGTGGTCAGCCAAAGAAGAAACAAAGATAGTACTGGAAGATAAATATCCCCTTCTATGTAAAAGTGCTGCCTTCTGACCATTAATAGTAGGTACATTTTATTTTAGGGATAATCCCTCCACACTGTCTTCATGCTGTCCTGGCAAAAGATTACTCTTCAAAACCTCAAAACAGAATGTGAGTATATACTGGATGTCAAATCAAAGAATACTGTTGAACTGGCCTTTCATTTTCTGAAGATTTATAGATTAGGTTTACAAATCTATCTTGCTCAGAATGAGGATTTTTTTTCAAAGTTCACAATTATTTTGAACATTTTTAGAATAAACTATATTGAACTTGGTTAAAAATACAAATCATAGTCGTGCTTCCAGAGCTATGGAAATTTAATGGTGAAAAGGTATTTAGAAATTATATAGTCTACCTTGTCCAAGCCCATCATTTTACAGATGAGGAAACTGAGGCAGATGACAATTAAGTGACATGCCCAGGGTCACACAGCTAATATGCAGATGTCTGAGGTAGTGCGAACCCAGGTCTTTATGACTCCAAGTTCACCAATCTGTCCACTAGCTGCTTCTCATGCTGCCTCCACATTTTACAGAAGAGAAAACTGTCAAAACTGAACTCATTAATTCCCTTACCCCAACCCTACACCTTCCCTATTCCCAAGGGCCCTACCATCCTACCAGTCCCTCCAGCTTTCAACCTAGAAGTATTATCCTTGACTTCTTTCTCTCTCATCCCCCATATCCAATCTGTTGCAAAGGCCTATTGATTTCACCCTTGTAATTTCTTTCTTCAGTACTTCTGATGTCTTCTCTCCTCACACTGCCGCCACCCCAGTGAAGGTGCACATCTCCTCTCCTTTGTCCTATTGTAATAGACTGCTGGTTGGTCAGCCTACCTCAAGTCTCTCCCCACTCCAATCTATCCTCCACTCAGGGACCCAAATGATTTTCCTAAAGCAAAGGTCCAACCTTGTCACACACACCCCCAGCTCAATAAACTTCAGTCTCCCTTCCAGGTTCAAATATAAAATCCTTGGTCTTTCAAAACCCTCAATAACCCATAACCCTTAAGTCTTCTTACCCCTTACACATACTCTTTGATCCAGGATACTCAGACCTTCTTGCTGTTCTTCAACCAAGGCACTCCAACTCCTGCCTCCCAGCATTTTCTCTGACTCTCCCCCACATCTTCATCTCTGCCTCCTGACTTCCTTCAAATCCCAACTAAAATATCATTTTCTATAAACAGCCTTTCCTAATCCTTAATTCTAGTACCTTCCTTCTTATGATTGTTTTCTATGTATCCATCATATAGCTTGTTTGTATATAGCATGTTTGCATATTTTCTCCTTTCATTAGACTGTGAGCTTCCTGAAAGCAAGGACTGTCTTTTTGCCTTTCTTTGTATCCCCATTGCTTAGTACAGTGTCTGAGATATTGTGGGTGCTTAATAATGTGTATTGACTAATTATAATTCAGTTTATGATCATTCAGTTAAACAGACATGTAAGTCAGTTTGCCAAATGCTGGGCATATGCCATGCTTCAGTACTTCAACAGTTCTATGATTTCATTAATATGAACTCACTCCACTAGTGCAAATTGCAACTCCTTGCCTTAGGAGATAATAATTCAGTTCAGTTGTCAAAAAATTGGGAAATCTAGTGGCCAAACTAATGGTAATAACATTCATCTCTCAGTTTATAGTCAGAAGCTGGTCCAGTTATGATAGTCTGTTGTCTTGACTGTACTCAAAGCCTTTTTAGCTTGTAGCAGCAGCCAGAGTTTACCCTCTAATGGCATAACCTTTGAGAGACCAGGGTAACCACTCTATCATTATTAGACATTGGAATAGAACATTAAAAGAAGGGACACTAGAGCTGAAAAAGTGAAATAGGACACAGGAGGAATTTATAATTTAATGGGGCAGGGAGCACAGAATAATATACACAAATAGCAGTGATACAAGGCCTATTATAACAAGTACAAAAAACTGCAGTTAAAATACTATATTAAATAGCATTTATGATGGGAGAAAATACTTTTGGCTAGGTGGAAATCAAGAAAGAAATTTTGGAGGAGGCAGCACCTAAGTTGTGCTTTGAAGGACTCCAGGGATTTCAGCAAGTGGAGTTGAGGTGTTGGGGATTCCATTTCAACCATGGGCCATAAATACAGGACAAAGGAAGACAGGACTAGGTGTATTATGCAGTACATTTGAGCTGAAACATTATTGGGCCCTTAGGTGGTGAAGTGGATAGAGCACCAGTCCTGGAGGCAGGAAGACCTGAGTTCAAATTAGGCCTCAGAGGCTTGCTTACCAGCTATGTGACCCTAGGCAAGTCACTTAACCCTGCTTGCTTCAGTTTCCTCATCTGGAAAAGGAAATGGCAAAGCACTTCAGTATCTTTGCTAAGAAAACCCCAAATTGGGTCATGAAGAATCAGACATGACTGAACAACAATATTAGGTATTCAGGAAAAGGGGTGCTATGAAATAAAACTGGCAAATACTTTGAAATAAAATTGTAGGAGGCCTTGTGTTACAGGTTAAGGAAGATAAATGTTACTAGATAGATGATGAGAAATTTTGAAGGTTTTTGAGTAAAGGAAAGGTAAGATCAGAGCAGTGCTTTAGAGAAATCAGTTTGGCATCTATGTGAAGAGTGGGCTGGAGAGGAGAGAGACTAGAAGCAGGAAATTAGGAGACACGTGTGAGTGAGAAATAAGGACAGAATTAGGGTAGCAGTAGTGGAAAGGAAAGAACATAATGCAATGGAAAGATTGCTGGATTCAGAATCATATCCATACTGAATCTAAATCTCAACTTTGGCTCTTAAATACCTACATAATCTTGTTACTTAACCTCTCTAAGCCTCAGATTCCTCATCTGTAAAATGAGAAAGATGTACTGGGTGACCTCTAAGGTTCTTTGTAGCTGTAAACCTTTGATCCTGTGATCATATCAGAGAACAGAGGAGGGTTTAATTGGCTAGACTTGGCAAATGATTTGGATGTGTGGGTTGAGGGAGAGGGGAAAGGCAAAAATAAATCCAAACTCATTTGACTGGCTATGAGAATGGTGATATACCATCATCAGAAATAGAGAAGGTAGGGGAAGAAGCGAGTTTTGGTAGAAATGTTATAAGTTCCATTTTAAGCATGTTGAATTTAAGGTGTTGGTAATTGGAAAGATATGACTATAGCTCTGGAGAGAGATCAAATTAAAAAGATATATTTGGACAGGAGTAAAGTCCCTTTCCTTTGTTATTTGACATAATCTTAGGCTAACAGTAAGACCATAAAGAATCTAAAAACAGGGGCAGGTAGTTGGCGCAGTGGATAGAGCACTGGCCCTGGATTCAGGAGGACCTGCATTTGAATTCAGCCTCAGACACATAACACTTACTAGCTGTGTGACTCTAGGCAAGTCACTTAACCCCATTGCCTAACTAAAAAAAGAAAAAAGAATCTAAAAACACAGACATAGACAAGGATGAGATAAGACTATCTCTATTTGTGGATGACATGATGGTTTATTTTACAATCCCCAGAGAATCATCAAAGAAACTAAAACAATTAATAGATTCGGTAAAATAGAAGGATACAAAATACACAAAAATCAATCATATTAACAATTGCAATAACAAAAACCAGGAGAAAATAATCTAATCCCATTCAAAATAACTATAATATACATAAAGTATCAGGGAGTCAATCTGCCAAGGTATACTCAAAATATATGAATTAGCCCTGAGGGGCCTGTGCTTCCAAATTCAGCTCAAATGAACACTCAGAATGCAATAGTAATTATTTATACACACATGCACACATTCATATATATATACATATATATATATATATATATAAACTATTACAAATAATTTTAGAAAATCAGCAAGAGCATCCTAAGGAGCCTTCTTTTTTTTGTTTTTATGTGAGGCAGTTGGGTTTAAGTGACTTGCCCAGAGTCACACAGCTAGTGTTATGTGTCTGAGGCTGGATTTGAACTCAAGTCCTCCTGACTTAAGGGCCGGTACTCTTATCTACTGTGACACCTAGCTGCCCCCTAAGGAGCCTTTTGGCTGGCTTCCCAAAAACTGTCATGGATAATTTTAGAATAACAGAGGAAACAAAGTCAAACTATACAATTTATTAGCAAGGCATGCAGTTGCAGGAGAAATCAGGTCCAAGGCCCCTCAGTAGGCACAAGGATGCTGAAGAGAGATTTACCAAGGTTTTTTAGGAAAGTATAGTTACTACTTTTAGTGTTACTATTTTTAGATTGAGGGACTTTGCAGAGATTGAGCGCTCTGGTTGCATCCACCTGCATCCTGCAAAACAGTTAGTGGCACAATAATGAATGACTTCTCCAAATTCACATCACTTACAGGAAAACTAAATTTAGCTCAGGAAACTGAGACTTGGCTCCACCAGTTGCATAAAATGTCAGCGATGATACAAAATTGAGTTGGTTTGGTTCTCTCAGTTACTTGTGAGCTACTTCTATTAGATTTT